GCAGGAAGCCAAGGCACGGACTAGCGCGAAGAACCGTCTGACATTCAATGGGGGTTGCCGTTAGAACGGTTACAACTGAAATCTAGATGTCGTCCGCGAGCACTCGCCGTGTAGACGATAAAGGACGGAACTTGCTCTGTAGTAGCCGACGTAGGGGATTCAGACAAAGGGCGAAGCGAACACCTGGCAAGGGACAGCCTTGCTTTATACGACTTGTTACGTTACATCCATAGAATACACGACCACAGACACATATAGTAGTATGGCGATGATGACGATGATGACGGCGATGATAACGATGATGGGACGATGATGATGGCGACGATGGCGATGACGATGACGATGACCATGACGATGATGATGATTGTGATGATGACGATGATGATGATGATGATGATGATGATGATGATGATGATGATGATGATGATGATGATGATGATGATGATGATGATGATGATGATGGTAATGACGATGCTGATGATGATGATGAGGATGCTGATGCTGATGCTGATGACGACAATGATGCTGATGATGATGATGATGTTCATGACCATGGCCATGATGACGATGGTGATGATAATGCTGATGCTGCTGATGATGGTGATGATGCTGCGGATGCTGATGATGCTGACGATGATGATGATGGCGATGATGATGATGATGATGAGGATAAGGATAATGATACGGATGATGATGATGATGCTGATAATAATGAGGATGTTGATGGTGGTGGTGAGTATGATGGTGATTATGATTATGCTGATGATGTGGATGCTGCTGATGCTGATGCTGATGCTGCTGATGGGGGGACGAGGAGGAGGAGGTGGAGGAAAAAGAAGAAGACGAAGAAGAAAGGGAATTGCCGACCTGCTGTCCACTCCACTGCTGGCTATTATGCTTGCCCCGGTCCAGCGAGCTGTGTCCCATCATTCGTTTGCTACCCTTTGTTGCCTCGGTTGCCTCTCTATTCTCTCTTGTATACGGCCCTTGACACTCGGCCGTGGCACTCAAACCCCGGATGCCTACCCCGGTACCTTCCGCGACCATACCCGCAGATGTCGTCCCGCAGGTGTCTGCCCCCGACTACTCCTCACTCTTGATTCGCCCACCAACGTTCTCCATTTGCTGAAACCGTGCATCGCCGAGCGGGATCAATGAGCAGGGCGAGGAGGACGAGCGGGAGAAAGAAGGAGGGGGAGGAGCAGGAGGGGGAGGGGGAGAAGAGGGATAAGCAGCAGCCCAGGAGGAGCAGGAGGAGGAGGGGGAGGAGGAGGAGGAGGAGGAGGAGGAGGAGGAGGAGGAGGAGGAGGAGGAGGAGGAGTGAGGAGGAGGAGGAGGAGGAGGGGGAGGAGGAGGAGGAGGAGGAGGAGGAGGAGGAGGAGGAGCAGGAGCATGAGCAGGAGCAGGAGCTGGCCTGGTCGAAAGACCCTCGCCTGCCAGCGACGCAGGCCACTGCTCAGGCGAGGAGCGGGAGGCGGAGGAAGACGAGTAGGAGAGCGGGAGGACCAGAGGAAAAAGGAGGACGAGGAGGGGCGAGGAGAGAGACGAGGGGAGGAGAGGGAGGGGGGAGGAGAGGAGAGAAAGGAGAGGGAGAGAGGGAGGGATGGGGATGGGGGCACGTGAGGGACGAGGGAGGGGCGGAGGGGCGGGAGAGCCCGAGGCGGCCGGTCAGGCGTCCAGGCGAGAAAGTAGCACACGACCAGCTCGACGCAGAAGTACACGATGCCCAGGCTGGTGGCGACGCTCTTGGCGGAGGTGTAGAACGCGTCCTTGAAGCTCACAGGATCCTGCGCATGGGCGCGCCGCCTCCTTCCATGCCTCCTTGTCCTCATCCTCATCCTCCTTCTCCTCCTCCTCCATCTCCTTGTCCTCGTCTTCCATCTCCTCCCCCTTCTGATACTCGTCGTTTTCCCCCCTCCTTCGTCTGATCCATCTCCACGTTTTCCACTCCTCCGCCTGGGCCCTCCTGCAATTCATCGTCCTATTCCTCCACCTTTCCCCGCCTCCTCTTCTTGTTGGACCTCTTCTTCATCCCCCTCCTCCTCCTCCTCCTCCTCCTCCTTCTCCTTTTCGTTATCGCCCTCCTCCTACTCCTCCTTCTTCTTTTCCTCCTCCTCCTCTTCTTCTTCCTCCTCCCTCCCTCCCTCCGCTCCCAGGTCTACCACCCCGCCCTCGGCAGTGGGCGGCGCGCTGGGCGCACGCGGAGCCCTCCAAGCTGCGGTTCGGCAGCCGTGCCTCGTCCTCACAGGCTGGCGTGCAGCGAGGGGACCCGCTGGGGCCGCTACTCTTCGCCCTCGCCGCGCGCTCGGTGCTGGAGAGAGCTCGCGAGCGCTGCAGACCCGGACCTGTGTGCCTTCTGCCTGGGCGGCTTCCTTGATGGGCTTGTTTTCCACCGCCACCACCATAATTAAGCTGGAGGGGGGGAGGAGGAGGAGGAGGAGGAGGAGGAGGAGGAGGAGGAGGAGGAGGAGGAGGAGGAGGAGGAGGAGGAGGAGGAGGAGGACACCCTCCCCCCCAACACATGGTGGTGGTGGTGGCCCATCATTCCTGCCAGGCTCGAAGGAGGCGGCGGCGCGCGCTGGCGACGCCGCAGCGCCGCTGCCCCGCCTTGGGCCTCCAGCTCCACTTCGGCAAGCGTGCGCTTGTGATCCCTTGCGGGCGCGCGCCGGGGTGCCTGGCCGAGCTTTCCCCAGCGCCACTCCTGGTGGATGCAGAGACAGGGGCCACCCGCGTCGTCCTCCGAGGCGGCTTCAAGCTGCTAGGAGCTCCCCGAGGGGCGAAGGAATATTGCGAGGCCGTCACCCAGCGCCGCGCTGACACGACCACGCCAGCCCTAGAGGCGCTCGCCAACCTGCACCCCCAGGTGGGCCTAGCGCTCCTGCGCTACTGCGCGAGCTACGCCAAACTCGTACGCAGCGCCCGGACAGCGCCCTCTGCCCTTCTCTCGGGTTCGGAGCACCACCTCTCGGCCGCGATTGACGAGCGTGGGCGTTAGTTAGGTCTTTCTGGCTGGTTTGGGTGCGGCACACAGCGCTGCCGTCCTTCCAGAGGTGCTGCCAGGCGCCTCGGGCTTCCTCAAAGCGCAGCCCAGCGAGCAGTTTGGGCTCCTCTTCGAACCCGAGGAACTCGCGTGCGAGGTGAAGCGCTTGCTGCTCATGCCTGTGTGCGAGACCTCCGCGGCCGACACGCGGGCCTCTGCACTGGGGCCCGGGACCGGGTCCACCGGCACAACGGGGCGAGGAACGTAGCCGGCGCTTTCGCCACCAACGCGGGCCTCAACCCGACACTCGCGCAGTCGGGCCTCCTGCCACCCCGCCCAGACGACACCCAGGCGAATCGGCGCCGGCCAGCTGACGCCTACACTCCCTCATGGTTCCCTTTGACTTCGCCGCCTCTTCGCCGCATAGGCAGGCGGCCCGTGCCCTGGCTTCCCAGGGACTCGCGCCCGCGGCGCAAGAGTACGAGACGGCCAAGAGGAGCCACCTCGACGCTGAGCGGCTGTGCCAGCAGCAGGGTGCCGCGTTCATCCCCCCCTGTGGCGGGCGGAGCCGTCCAGCGCTTGGGGCCCCCCCGGCGCCGACACGCGGCGCCGGCCGGCCTGGGCCAGCAGCTCGGAGCGGGCGCGGCCCGGCTGTTCCAGCGCCTGCTCGTGGCGGTCCGCCGGGCTGCCGCGCGGGCAGGCTCGAGGAGAGGCACGAGGAGCGCCCCCTCGGGCGGGGGGCGCTCTGGCTGCCGCGCGGGGCCTGCTCGCCGAGCTCGGCCCGCGCTCTCCTCTCCGCTCTTCTCCCCCTCCCTCCTCCCCTCTCCGCTCTCCGCTCTTCTTCCCCCTCCTCTCCGCTCTCCGCTCTTCTTCCGCTCCCTCCTCCCATCCCCTTCCCCCTCCTGGCCCTCCGGCCAGCGCGCGTGCGCCCAACGGAAGGGTCGGGTGGCGCAGAGCCCACGGCCGCGTGCTGGCCTCCTCCGCCTTCAAGTTCTCTCCTGCTCCCTGTTCCCCTCCCTCCTCCTCCTCCTCCTCCTCCTCCTCCTCCTCCTCCTCCTCCTCCTCCTCCTCCTCGGGAGCGCCCTGCGTTGAGGCAGACCCCTGTCGAACCTCTCCCGGGGGGGGGGGGGCGTCTGCAGCACTAGGCTGCTGCATCCTTCTCGCGCACCTTGCCTCACGTGGCGGCGAGCGAGGGGGGGAAGATAAGGCCTTCTCGGAAGGCGGCGGGGCTTCTCAGAAGCCCTCGCGCCTTCTGAGAAGTTTCCTGTGTCTTCGGGGAAGGCTTAGAAACCTTCTCAGAAGGCTGGGGGACTTCCGAGCCTTCTGAGAAGGCCCGCCCCTTCTCACTTCCTCCCCTCGCTCGCCGCCGAGCACATGCCATCTCTCGTCCACCCAGCCTTGCGCGGCTCAGGCGCCGTGTGCTCGCAGCGTGCGCCCCGACGGCATAGGCGCGTTTGTTTGTTGTTTCGTTGTTTTGATTGTTTGTTGTTTCTCTCTCTCTCTCTCTCTCTCGCTCTCTCCCTTTCAACTCGGCACACTTCTCCTCGCCTCGCCGTCTCTCTCGCGCGAGCCCCTCGCCTGGCCTCCTGCCTGGCCTCCCGCTCCTCCTGCTGCTCCTGCTGCTCCTCCTGCTCCTCCTCCTCCTCCTCCTCCTCCTGATTCCTGATTCCCGATTCCTCATGGCGGGAGGAGTCTTCGACTGCCGACCCCCCCAGTCCTCCTCTTCCTCCTCCTACTCCTCCTCCTCCTCCTCCTCCTCCTCTTCCTCCTCCTCTTCCTCCTCCTCCTCCTCCTCCTCCTTTTCAACATGATGCTCACAACCATCACCATCACCTTCTTCTGACTCCTCCATTTGCCTCCCTCTCTGTCTCTCTCTCTCTCTTTCTCTTTCTCTCTGTCTCTGTCTGTTTGTCTGGAGGGAGATCGAGAGAGAGAGAGAACAAACAAACAAATCAAATAGAGAGAGAGGTATGGGGAGGGGCAGAGGGACGGGAAGAGGGATGGGAGGGCGAAGGCGAAGAGGAGTGTCCATCTCTATCTCACCCTCAGGGTGCATGGCCCTCCTGCAGGGCGCTGGCTGCTGCAGGCAACCCCTGAAAACGCCTCCTGGCTTCGGTTCAGACTATACAGGCGCATACTTCCGGCACTCCAAGGGCAAGCGTCCGGCAGCGCAGCTACCAGCGGATCGACGTATCCAGGCCACGGTTCCGCCCGAGCGCTCGACGCCTTGCCCTGTGCCAGGCGTCCATCGGAGCATCCAGGACGCCTCGCTGAGGACGCTGCAGCGAGGGTTCTGAGGGGCACAATTCCCTCACTGAGGCCGCGGCCGCTGCAGGATAGCAAAGACGTGAGCTCGACCGGTGCGGTCTCAATGTCCCAGGGGCTGGAAGGACCTGTGCCTGTGCAACGCCCAGGGCGTGATCAAGGATGCCGAGGCGGCCGAGCATTGGTGCGGCGAGGCGGCGAGCAGGGCCAGGCGCTGGGCACGGCGGGGGCCGGAGCATCTCTCCCAGGGACCTACAGCTCGTCGTGCCCGGCGACGGTGGACAGCTTCTGCATCAGCTTGCCGAACTGGCGGCCCGCCTCCTGCTGGCCGTGAAGCTTCCACGCGACGAGGAAGGCGTTGAGCTCGGTGTGGATGGGCACGTCCGCCACCCGGAGCGACTTGAGCGCCTCGTACTTGATGTAGGTGCCGTAGTCCACCACCGTCCTCCGCGTGAGCGCACGAAGCTTCTTCGCGGCCAGCCAGATCGTCTTGGCCCCCGCGCTCCAGATGCACGGCGTGGGCGCCTCCTTGAGCAGCTTCTCCGTGGCGTCCGCGAGGCCCTTCAGGCCCTGCTGCATCGTGCGCTTCCGTCTCTCCAGTATCAAGCCTGTTCGGGAGCGGCCAAGAGGGGGGCGTCCAAGAGGGGGGGGTGCAAATCATGGACGGCGGCACGTGCGCGGCCCAGGGGGGGGGCCAGGGACGTAATGATGAAATAAGAAGAGGCGCCAAGAAATCTGGGGAAGTCTCATGCCCAACGCCATGATATCCACCCCCCCCTAGCCATCACCCCCCTCTTTGCCGCCCCCGACCTATGGCCTCAGACAATTCCTTGACGAACTCGTCCGTGACCTCCTTCGGGAAGCAGGTGTCCCGCAGCTCGATCTTCTCCTGCCGGCCCGCGGCGTCCGCTGCCGCCTCGAAGGCGTCCAGCAGAAAGTGCCGCAGCGGGTGCTCTGGGTCATCGTCCACGGCCTCTTCCTCTCAGAGGCCTCCCGGATGGGGCCCGAGCAGATGGGACCGGAGGCCTGCGCCGCGCCGCGGATGCGTCGCCGATGCGGCGCGATCCTCCGACCCTATCGCTACTCGGACCCCATCCGGGAGGCTTGGATTCGAGGATGGGGAGGAGGAGGAGGAGGAGGAGGAGGAGGAGGAGGAGGAGGAGGAGGAGGAGGAGGAGGAGGGGGAGGCTCCTCCTCCTCCGACTGGGGGTTGAAGTCGCCGAAGAACTTCCCCAGGGCCTGCCCGAAAGCGTGGGCCGGCAGGCCGTCCCGCCAGGCGACGACGGGCCATGGGCGGCGCCGGCCGGCAGCGGCCTCGCGCCGAGCCCGACCGCGGGCCCCTCCGGGGCCCACCGGTGTGCACCAGGAAGCTGGAAGCACTTTTTTTTTGTTGATCCGCGGGTCGAGAGCGCACCTCTTCGGGTCGAAGCTGAGCGGGCCGCGCGAAGCTTGAATCAACAAAGGGGGGGGGAAAGGAAGTTGGAAACACACGTGGCTGGATTCACGTGTGGAACCTCTGCAGGCGACGCGCCGCATACACATGCGGAAGCCGGGCCCCCACACGGCCTTAGAATAGCCTAGCGCTGGAAGGACATCTGCCACATCTGTGTATCCAGCTCTCGCCCACCCAGGCCGGCCGCGTCATGCGTGTACAGCTGCCTCTTCCTGGTAGGATTGGCTCAGGATGCGCTTAGAGGGTTCCCAAAAGTACCCAGAAGCCCTCGTATCTGCAGCAGCCCGAGTGGAGCGTCAGGAAATCTTGGGACTACTGGAATCCTGGAGAATCTTGGAACGTATCATCACCATGACCTCTTGCTCCTCTGAGAATCGGCCCGGTCAGGATCGGTGTGAGGTGGTCGGGCGGCGCCCCCCAGAATGAGGTCGTTCAGCTCGAGGTGGACGTCCACGCCGCCCACCCTCAGGGCTTTCATTGCCGCGTAGTCGACCTGCGCGTTGGGCTGGAGCACCATCATCATTATCAGCAGCATCATCATCAGCATCAACATCATTCGCATCATTCGCATCATCATCATCATCATCATCATCATCATCATCATCATCATCATCATCATCATCATCATCATCATCATCATCAGCAGCAGCAGCAGCAGCAGCAGCATCATCACCCCAGCAGCGTCATCACCGTCATCAGCACAACCGACGAAAGCAACATAACATCATCATAATCATACTTGCCATCATCGTCAATACCACCACCATCCTTACTAACGCCATCACCATCGGCAACATCATGTGCATCAATATCATCAGCAGTATCATCATTATCATCAGCAGCATCATCGTCATCGTCACTACCATTATTGTCATCAATACCACCATCAACAACACTACCTCCAGCACCACCACCACCATCGTCATCATCACCACCACAGCCGCCATCATCATCATCATCATCATCATCATCATCATCATCATCATCATCATCATCATCAGCAGCAGCAGCAGCAGCAGCAGCACCATTATCAGCATCATCAGCATTATCATCAGTCATTATCATCATCCTCACTAGTAGTAGCATCATCATCGCCGTCATCATGATCATCGTCATCACTATGTTAATCATTATTGTCATATTGATCATGATCATCAACATCATCACCAGCATCAGAAGCATAAGCATCATTCTCAATCGTGGTCGTCGTCGTCGTCATCAATAGCGTCATCATCATTGTCAACAGCAGCACCACCATCGTCAACACCACCATCCTCATCACCACCACCATCACCAACAGCATCCTTGCCATCATCGTCACCATCCACATGGTCGCCACCACTACCACCACAGTCTGCATATGATTGTTCTTCTTACCCCTATCAGTCGCATTCTCGTTCTCGTGATTGCTCCTTGTCTTCATCCGCCTTGCGCTCAGGGCGTAGCCGACCTGTGCGTTGGGCCGGAACAGGTTCCGGGCCGTCGCCAGCACCTGCAGGCGAGCCGCGGCAGCCCTGGTCTGCCGGGCGCCGCTGGCGCCCTTCAGGGAGGCACAGGCGGCCTCCACGCGGTCCAGGAAGGCCTGCACGTCCCTGGACACCGCCTTCAGGCCCGCCTGCATGCCGGCCTGCGTCCTCCTCATCATCCTCGGGGACGCCCGCGGGTCACCGCTGCCGCCAACTGCTCCCCGGACCTCTCGCCGGGGGGCGCACTCCAGGCAGAACTCCGGGGGCGGGCCCAGCCGTGGCGACGAGGGCCTCCCAGGAGGCCCCAGCAAGACGGAGACGAGGGAGGGGTAGCAGGATCGGTATACCTTCTCCTCCTCAGGATCCTCTCGAAGAAGGCGTCGTCCAAGCTCTCGCTGAACTGCCGGAGGGCCTCCTCGCTGACGCAGCCGGCGAGCACGGGCCGCGACCTGTCCCCAAAGGTCTCGAAGGCGGTGTTCAGGGCGTCTGCCCAGAACTGCGGCGCCGTCTTCGCGTGGTGCCGGTGGTCCTCGGCGGGCGTCGCGGGCGTGGGCTCCTGGGCCTGCGCCGCCGGCGTCGGCTGCTGGGCCTCCTCCTCGCTGGCGAACTGGCCGAGGAACTTGGCGAGCCCCTGCCCCGTCCTTCGAGGAAGAAGCAATTGCACAGGCACAAGCTGTCGGAGCTCCGCGAGGACCTCTGAGCGTTTGTGTTTGCAGGCGTTCTACTGTTGTGGGCTTCGGCGTTAGGCCGAACGGGTGGGGGAGTGGGGGGGAGATCTGTGTCTGGGCTGGCGCTTGGTTGATCCGCTTCCGCCAATCGCGCAAGCGGACTGGGGGAGAAGGGTCCTGACCAGTCGCCACAAACAGCCGCCAAGAGCAGCCGAGATCTGGTTTTACGGGGAGGGGGGGGGGCGGTGGCCCGCGCCGCTCGGCGAAACACTGCATAAAAACAGCAGCGACTGTGCCGCTTCTTGCTCCCCGAGTCCTGACCGGGCCGTTGTTCATCTGCCACGCGCCCAGCAGCTCGTTCAGCTCGACGTGGATGTCCACGTCGGCGATCGTCAGCGACTTGAGCGGCTCGTACCTGACGTGCTTCGCGTCCAGGCTCGCGAGGCTCCGCGCCGAGGCGAGCACCTGCAGCCGCGCGGCCTGCTCCCGGAGGGCCTGGAAGGTGCGCGACACCGAGCACCCCGCCTCTGAGCATCGTCTAAGCGACCCCTTTCCCCCAGACCCCCTCGAGTCGTGACAGAAATCACGACGGGAGGTTTTCGCTGTTTTCGGCCTCTGGGGGCCTTTCACAGGCCTCGGGGCTGTCGAAAAACGACTCAGGGTGAGAAACTGGTCCCGGGGGAATGGGTTGAGACCTCTGGGGGTCGACGTTACGAAAAAAACGTAACGTCATGGGTCTGGGTCCCACTGGCGTGGCCTTAGCCCCACATGGCGGACTTACCCACCCTGGTAGCGATACGGTACATGCCAGTTCCTACGGGCCTACGATGAGGAACTTTTGCTTTGCGTGTCGCGGCGGCGGCCCCGGCGACATGCTATGCCTTTTCAAGCGGATAGCTTGTCGGGAGGCTGAGGACAGCTCGGGACGTTGACGCTTGGGAACGAGGACTTGGATAGAGAGTCGCGACGAAGCGTGGTGAGCCAGAACCAGCGGAGCGACACGCTAAGCCAAAGTTCCTGACCGCAGGGTGGGCTGGTGGGGCTGCAATACCATGGCCCAGTGGGGAAAGGGGATCAGCTGAGCGACGCTGAACCTCCGCCGCGTCCAGCAGCGCCAGCACGCACCCGGCCACGTCCTGCAGCCCCCTCATGGGGAAACCACAGGCACCAATACCGCTACCCTCTGGAGCTCTCCCAGGGTGCGTTCTGACCGGAATTTCGAGGCGAGTCCAGCCGTGGCGACGAGCTCCTCCCAGGAGGCCCCCGAAAGGAGGAACCGAGGCAAGGGCAACGGTATCGGTACCCTTTTCCTCCCCTGACTTCTGCATGCCGCGGCGCGTCTTCAGCAGCATCACGTCCACCGATGCCTGGAATTAGGTCGGGCCTGTCCCCATACAGGGGGATCTTCGACGAAAAATGAAAAAAACAAAAAAACACAAATACCCCAAAAAGGCTCAAAAATGGTCAAAAACTAATCCCCCGACTTTTTTTTAACTATTTTTGAATGTTCCCCCCTGTAGAGGGACAGGCCCGACTTCTGCCTGGAAGCACGCCCGCCACTCGCCCCCCAGCCGCTCGGGCACGCAGCCGGCCCGGAGCGCCGCGGCCTCGCCCGCGTAGCGCGAGAGGCCGCCGCCCTGGGCCCTCACAGAGGAGCGAAGAAGCACCACCACAAACACAGACCGTTGGGCCTCCTCCTCCTCCTCCTCCTCCCCCTCCGCCCTCCGCCCTCCTCTTCCTCCTCCTCCTTCGCCCTCCGCCCTCCGCCCTCCTCCTCCTCCTCCGCCCTCCTCCTCCTCCTCCTCCGCCCTCCTCCTCCTCCTCCTCCTCCGCCCTCCTCCTCCTCCTCCTCCTCCTCCTCCTCCTCCTCCTCCTCCTCCTCCTCCTCCCCCTCCTCCTCCTCTTCCTTTGGGGGCCTGCACGGACTCTTTTTGGCTCGGGGCTGGAACCCCTCCCTGTCGCTCGGGGGAACTCGTCGGTGCGTCTGGTCGCAAGCTTCGCGAACACCTTCAGCTGTCACCTTCATCATGGGAGTCTTCCTTCAGGGTCGGCGGCACTGGCCGTAAGGCCTTCGCAACCGAATGAACACAGATGTTTGGAGGTCAGCGCGGACGTTTTTCTTGTAAGGGCTCTGGTTCAAGGTTATCTTGTGGCTTGCGAGCCAAAGGCCCTGTACCAGAAGGGTGTCGAGCAGCGGCGCCGGGATTGGACACGTAAACATTCGTGTGCGGAAAGGCGGGGTCTCCAGCACGAGTCTCGTCACGCGTGCGGTCGGCACCTGTCTCCTACGCGCTTCGGGCCACGACGGGGCCGCAAGCGAGGGACCCAACTGGCAAGTGCCGAACTCGTGCGCCAGGATTGGACGCGTGAGAAGACGTGTGCGGAGGTGGGGTTTCCGACGTGCGTCTCGACACGCGTGCGCTCGGTATCGGGCCGCGACAGGGCCGCCAGCGAGGGACCCAACTTGCGGGTGCCGACTTCTGCAACACGGGAAAATCTGTGCGGCCAACTTGCCCGGGGCGCGTGCTCGCGGGGCACGTGCTTTCACGTGCCCACGGGGCAACAGGGGGGAACCCAACAACTAGAGGGCGGCGAGTCCTGCGCCTGGCGCGTGCGCGCGGAGCACGCGTCTTCGCTTGGTTCGGGCCGAGGCGGGTGCGCAAAGCGAGGGACCCCGCAAGCGCCGCATTCGCCAACACGGGGCAACACGTGCGCGGAAAGGGGGGGGCGGCCCAACATGCCCCTGGCGCGTGCCCGCGGGGCCCGTGCTCTCACTTGTCCACGGGGCCCCAGGGGGGGGGGGGGGCCGAACAACTCAGGGCGGCGAGCCCTCTGCACGTAGAACTGCCTGCGCAGATTGGGGGGGCAACGAGCGCGCCCGATGCGTGCTCGGCGAGCACGTGTGTCTTCCCGCGCTCCGGGACACGACTGGGCCGCAAACGAAGGACCCAACTTGCAAGCGCGGAGTGCTTTAACACGTAAAAGCACGTGTGCGGAGAGGGGCGCCCAACATGACCCTGGCGCGTGGGGGATAGCGAATTCTTCGCACGTCAACTTGCATGCGCGCAAGGGGGGGCAACATGCGCCTGGCGCGTGCGCGCGGAGCAAATGTTTTCACATGTTTCGGGCTATGACGGGGCCGCAAGCGAGTGACCCAACTTGCAGGTGCTGGGTTCTTCAACACCTGAACAAGTGTGCGCGGGAAGGTTGCCCCTGACGCGTGCTCGCGGTGCACGTGTTTTCACGTGCCCACGGGGCCACATCGGGACTTCACTCGGGGGTGGCAATTCTCTGCACGTAAAATTGCATGCGCAGAAGGGGGGGGGGAGGCAACATGCGCTTTGCGCGTGCGCGCGGAGCACATGTCTTCACTTGTTTCGGGCCAGGACGGGTTCGCAAGCGAGTGACCCAGCAATTGCCGAATTCTGTAACACGTGGAAATGCGTGCGCGGAGGGGGGGACAACATGCCCCTGGCGCGTGGGCGCGGCGCACGTGTTTTGTCCACGGGGCCCTGGGGGGGAGAGCTTCAAATTGCGTGCGCGGTCAAGGGGGGTGGGCCACGGGCGAGGGGGGGGCAACGTGCGCCTGGCACGTGCTCGCGCGGCAACTGTTGTCACGTGCTTCGGTCCACCACGGGGCCGCAAACCGGGGGCCCAACCTGGGGGTCGCCGAACTTTGTGCCCGCTAAGCATGCGTGCGCGGATGGGGGTGAGATGGGGAGGCAGCATGCCCCTGGCGCGCGCGGCGCATGTGTTTTCACGCGCCCACGGGGCTCCAAGGGGGGAGGGGGGGGGAGGGGGGGCAAACGCGGGGGAGACGATTTTCTGGCGCGCGCGCGCGCAGTTGCGTGCGCGGAGGTCTGGTGCCCAACGGACGGGGTGTGCCCAACATGCGCCTGGCGCGTGCGCGCGGAGGGATTCGTTGCACATGCTTCGGGCCGCGACGGGGCCGCAAACGAGGGGCCCACTTGCAGGCGGCGAACTCCTCAGCATGTAAAAGGACGTGCGCGGAGGAGGGGGGGGCACCATGCCCCTGGCGCGCGCGCGGGGCGTACGTGCTTTCAAGTGCTCACGGAATCCCAGGGTGACCCAACCTGGGGGTGTCAAACTCTTCACGCGAAACCTTGCGTGCGCGGATGGGGGGGCAACGGAGAGGCCCAACATGGGACAGGCGCGTGCGCGCGGGGGGCACATCGCGTTTCGGGCCACGACGGGGCCCAGAGCGAACGATCCAACTTGGGGGGGGGCGAATTCTGAACCCGCTGAGCATGCGTGCGCGGAAGGGGGGGCCCAACATGCCCCTGACACGCGCGCGCGGGTCGTCACGTGTAAACGGGGCCCCAGGGGGGGCCCAACTCGGGGGTGGCGGCTTACATATGTAAAAGTCACTTGCGCGGCGGGGGAGGGGGCCCAACGGAGGGGGGGGGAATGGGCAACATGTGCCTGGCGCGTGCGCGGGCCGCAAGCGAGGGACCCATCCTGGCGGTGCCGAATTCCTCACCCGCTAAACATGCGGGCGCGGAGGGGGGGGGGGGGCAACATGCCCCTGGCGCGTGCGCGCGGTGCACGTGCCCATTTGGCCCCAGCCAGGGGGGCCCAATTTGGGCGTGGAGAATTCGAGGCACGTGAAGATACATGCGCGGATGGGGGGACCCAGCATGCGCATGGCGCGTGCGCGCGGGACACGTGTTTCCACGTGTTTCGGGCCAAGACGGGGCCGCAGGCGAGGGACCCAGGCCTAACAGGTGACGGGCGTCGCCGTGCAGGAGGGGGAAGACGATGAGGAGGAAGGTGGAGGCAGGAAGCCGATGCCTCGGGCGCAACCTGGGCGCCCTACAGCCTGCGCCAGAAGAGAGGGAGAGGGCGGGAGGAGGAGGGGGAAGGAGGAGGAGGGGGAAGCAGAAAGGAGAAGGAGGAAGGAGGATGACGAGGAGGAAGAGGAGGAGGAGGAGGAGGAGGAGGAGGAGGAGGAGGAGGAGAACGAGGAGGAGGAGGAGGAGGAGGAGGAGGAGAGGGTGAGAGGAGGAGGAGTAGGAACAGAAAGAGGAGGAAGAGGAAGAGGAGGAGGATGAGGAGGAGGAGCAGGAGCTGGATCAGGAGCAGGAATAGCAGGAGCAGGAGGCGCAGAAGGAGCAGGAGGAGCAGGAGCAGGAGGATAAACAGGACGTGCATGCTGTAGCCGCTGCAGACAAGAAAATGGTAATTGCCGCACGCGCGTCAGAAGAAAATGTGACTCCGGTTCCTTACCGGATCCGTGGATCCCTCAAGTTGGATCGAGGCTGGGCCCCCTCACTGGCGCTCGAAGAGCGCCAGTGGCGGCGGTTGAGCCGCCGCCAGGGGGCCTGCAGAGCCGATCAGAGACGTCCGCGCTGAGCTCCTGAAGTTTATGCTACGTATGCCATTGCTGTAGAGATGCGGAATCTGTGTAGGAGGAGAAGGGTGAGAGGAGGAGGAGGAGGAGGACAAGGAGGAGGGGGAGGAGGAGGACAAGGAGGAGGAGGAGGAGGAGGAGGAGGATACTGTCGGATTACACAGCCTTTGAAAGTGGCTGGCCCCTGTACCTACGCATGTGAGGGCTCAATCCCAATATGAATGGGTCAACGCGTGCCGGGTCCAAACCCAAACATGAAAGGGTCAGTGTATGACGGGACGTAGTTCCCGCATCAGGGATCAACGCATGAGGGCCCGCGTCACGGCAGGAGGGATCGACGCATGAAGGTCAAAGCCTCAACGATGGGGTCAGCGCGCGGCAGGTCATAAACCCGGGATGACAAGTCAACGCGTGAGATGTCCTATGCGAGGGGGTGGGCCTCAGAGCGAGGGGTCAACAAATGAGGGGTCGGACCCTAGCGGATGGTATGTGCATTCCGCGCACGTTATGGCCGCACTCAGTTAGTATCAAGATGCGCCCAGGACGAGGTAAAGATGGCGGCCATGACGCTTTTGTGGGGCAAGAGGATGCGCTAGAAAGAACAAGTGCACCAGGGTAGCAACGTGGCGAAGGACGATGGGGCAGCAGACGGTGGAGACGGGAAACGAACCGGAATTTAACATCCGAAGGCCAACGGCATCCCATGAGGGGGCAAAGCTGAGAGGGAAGGGTCAAAGCATCAACTAACATGGCAAATCCACGGCGCGGGGGAGCAACGTCCGAGGAGGCGGCCCCAGCGTGACGGGTCAGAAAACTGAAGAGCCAGAGCCCCGGCATGAGGGGCAGCGTATGGGGTCGAATGGCGAGGGGCGCGCCCTGCATGAGGGGTCAGCGCATGTCGACCCAATGTCCAGCGATGGCGTCAACGCCTGGAGGGTCGGAGACCCACGGTGAAGTTCACCGCGTCAGGAGCCAACTCTTGAGTCTATAACAGGAGGGGCCAAAACCCCAGCATGAGGGTCGATTGGTGAGGGGCGAAAGCCCAGCATGAGGGGTCCACGCATGTGTGTCCAAAGCTCCATCGATCGGGTCAACGCATGGAGGTCGCATGCCCACAGGAACAGATAAACGCAGAGGAAACCAAATCCACAGCGTGAAAGGCAATACACGCAGGGGCGGCCCCAGCGTGACTGGTCAACGATGAAGGGAAACACCCCAACATGGGTGGATGCCGCATGATGCGAGAGGCGGCCGCGCCCGCAGCATGAGTGGTGAACGTGAGATGGGTGAAACAAAAACAGCGATGCGACGAATCAAAAGAAATAGCCAACACTTTCCACTGATATTTGCGCAAGGAGCAGCAGTCCGCAGTCGCATGGGGCCCAGAAACATATGCGGCCGGCGCCGCCTGGTGAGGCCTCGTACGCCAGGGCTCTGGTCGTCACCGATAACTGGAACAGGGCACCAGGATGATCCGAAAGAGCGAAAGGCACCGGGGCAACAGAGTGGCTTAGAAACAAAGGGGAAACAGAACATGAGGCAAGATGACAAGAGCGTTTGCTGGTGTCGCCCTGGCTCAATAGCGACTTCTTGTAGTGCTGCCCGTCGCGGAGTATTGGATCGAGCATTATTTGCCAGCGCCCCGTGCATCCCTCACATCAATCGAACCCCACAAGATGCGGGTGGCCAGAAGCGTGGACTCACAGCCTTCAGGGTGGCTGGCTCTTGTAGCCAAGTAGCAAATGTATTGAAAGGGTTTGCGTGTCTGCTGACTTGAAACAAGCGTGACTTGGTGCCCTACGGGCAGAATTTGTCAAGTGAGGACGTCTCGCATGAATACGAAAGCGCCAGCGGGGGAAAGATTTCATCGCCCACGCGGTTCAAAACAATCAAGTGGCGTAATGGAGAGTGGTCGTGAGCGCGCTGGGGGGGGGGGAGAAAAAACATAACGAAACGAGAAGGGTAGTAGAAAGTGCAGGCGCCCGGCAAACAGGAAGGGGAAACACCCTGGAATGGAGCAGTGGGCCTCGGGGTAACCAGGAGTCGAGCAGGAAGGGGCAACTGTGGAAGGAAGGCTGAGCGGACATGGAAACCAGGGATGGGGCCAAGTAGAATGATCTAGCGGGCGGATCACCATCACGTCCGCAAATGAGGGGACCAGGCGGGTATCAAATAAGCGAGTAGAGCGACACCGCATCCCTCGTGGACTGACAGGGGTGTCGGGATGAGCTGAGAAGCGTACGGGCAGCGGGGGGACACCACCGAAGTCCATGGGAGACGGGGTGGCCGCGGTGGAGCACGGCGCGAGAAAGAGAGAGAGAGAGAGAGAGAGAAGAAAACACGACAAAACAAAACGAGGCAGACGGCCAAGGGCGAAGCGAGGCCTCCAGGTAACAGGTGCGCGGGATGGGGACCAAGCGCTCCCAGGCCTGGCGCCGCGCGGGGGGCAGCGGCCCGTGCCGCTGGATGCGGGCGGGGAGGCCACCCGAGCCCGTGGGGCCGGCGGGAGAAGCAGGGGGATAACAAAAACACCAGGGTAGCGAAATGGCCGAGGAGGACGGGGCAGCAGCGGTGGAGGCAGTAGGGGCCACATGCGAACCCTACCCCTACCCCCCACGATTTCTGAGGAGGAGGGCGGGGTTCACTTCGCGAAGTGAACCCCGCCCTCCCCCTCAGAACTCGTGGGGGGTAGGGGTAAGGGTTCGCATGTGGCCCCCTAGGCAGAACGTGAGAAGGATTGCCGTCTCGCCCGAGTCCCAAAACTAGGGATGCACGCGGGGGTGTTCATCGAGAGCGGGAGACGCGCGCTCTCTTACCAACGCACCGTGCCAGGCGCCCCTCACAATAGAAAAACTCCAGGGGCTGCGGGTAGCCACTGGCGCGGGGGGCAAAACCGCAGCGCAGGGAGCAAAGCGCGACGGGTCGTAGACAAAGTAGGCAGGTCAACGCTTGAGAAGTCAAATCAACGGCGGGGAGGGTCAATGCGCGGGGGGGGGGGGCGACGGGAGGCCTCAACGTGGCGGTTCAATAATGACGGAGTCAACGCTCGGGCATGGGGGGACAAAACATGAGCTAAGAGGGGGCAGAGCCCAAGCGGGAAGGGCCAACGCATGAGGGATCGAAGCCCCAGCGCGAGGGCCCAAAACATGATCTAGGCGGGGGGCAACGCCCCACCAACTCAAGAGCTAAGCGGGCGCGAAACCTCAGCAGAAGGGGCCAACGCATGAGAGCTCGAAGCCCAGGCACGAGGGGTCACATCATGAACTACAATGGGGGAAGGCCCTAGACGGAGGGACGACGCATGAAAGGCCAACACCCAAACATGGGGTATCACCGAATAAGGGTCAGAACTTGAGGGGCCAACGCCTCAGCATTGGGGTTCAACGCATGACGGGCCAACTGCCCAGCATGAGGGGTCAATACTGATCGTTTCAAGCCCAAGTATGAAGGTCAACGCATGTGCACAGGGGGGGCGAAGCTCCAGCAGGAGGGGCCGACGCGTGAGGAGTCGAGCCTCCCGAATGAGGGCCATCGTGATAGCTGCAAGGTGTAGCGGGATGAGCTGAGAGAGAACAAGGGCACCGGGGTAGCAAACTGGCCAAGAAAGATGGGGAAGCAGGGGTGGAGGCACGATGAAGGAAGGATTGCTGGTGTCGCCTCAGCTCCCTAGCCCGTGGGGTGCTTGTGAAGGTGCTGGTCGAGAGCGCAAGAGTCTCACTCTCTTACCAGCGCCCCGTATAATCGAACCTCAAGGATGCGGGAAGCCTTCGGCACGGGGAGGAGGAAGAGGAGGAGAAGGAGGAGGATAAAGAGGAGGAAGTAGAGGAGGATGATGAGGAGGATGAGGATGAGGATGAGGATGAGGATGAGGATGAGGATGAGGATGAGGATGAGGATTAGGAGGAGGAGGAGGAGGAGGAGGAGGAGGAGGAGGAGGAGGAGTTCCCCGACCTCAACGCCGAGACGTGCAGGAAGTCCGACGCGGCGGCGAGCATCTCCCCGACCGGGTAGGGCCCCGAGGACGGCACGGGCGAGTCCTGCGCCTCGGCCCCGGCGCGCAGGCACATCAGCAGGCACGCCCCCCGCAGCCGCCGCGCGCACACCGCCATCGGCCGCCGCGGCCCCGCGCGCGGCGCGCGCGGGGGTGCCGCGCCTCTCGGGGCGGCCTCGAGAGGCAACGGCGACGAGGCCTGAGATCTGGGCGCTGCAATCTTTGCTGGCGTCTTTCATGCTGGGTCTCGACGTCTGCCCGTGAGGTATGCTGGGCCTCGACAGCTGCTGGGTATGCAGCCTAAGGTAGCGATGTCGTCTTCGCAGACGACATAGCTACCTTACGCCGCAACTTGTGCGGGCCGCCCGCGCGACGCGCCACACTGGAAACAAGGGCGCTTGCGCGCGACCTTACGCGGGCAGCTACACGCCAATATCAGCGCAGACGGCCCCATATTTCTACGTCGCTGATTGGGCCGGGATCTGGGTCTGGCCCGGTGCTTAGTCGATCTGCTCCTACTAGTCGCGCAAGCAAGCTGGAGGAAAGGGGTCCTGAGCAGTCGCCACACGCAGCCGCCAAAAGCAGCCAAGCTCTGCTCTATGGGGGGGAGAGGGGGCGGGGGCGGCGAGGGCCCGCGCCGACCGGCGAAACAGCACATAAAAAACGACGGCTTTTCACACCGCGTGCTTTCGCCCACTTTCGGGCCCCGGGGACCCTCACAGAGCGATGCGGCTGGACAAATGGCGCAGCAAGTTGGGCTCTGGGGCTTCGGCCGTGGTTGTTCACGGTCTTGCAGGCTGTTTCGTTTTTCTTCCGCAGCGTCGGATCTCAGGGAGGGCCGAGGGATTCCTCGACGGAGAGGACGCCGCGCGTGGGCCGTGCAAGTAAGTCAGCCGCGCGCGGTGCCACACAAGGGCCGCCTCGCTGCGCTGGAGGCCCCTGGGAGGCGCTGGAGGCTCGCGGGAAGCCACGCTGCCACGAGGGCCTCGGAGAGCCCCCAACGGCATCGAGCGTCCTCAGGGGCCCCAGAAGATGACCGACATGCCTCCGAGACGGCCTAAGAGAGCCCCAAGACGTCCCAAGAGGGCCCCAAGAGTGTCCCAACGGGGCCCAGGAAAGCCCTGCGATACCTCTTCTATTGTCCAACGGCCCCAGGAACGCCCCAAGGCGGGCCAGGGGGGAGGGCACCCACCCAAGACCAGCAACCGAGGCCTGAAGACGCGCCAAGATGCTTTGGAAAGGCCCACGAGACGGCAACCTTTCGGACCACAGGGGGCGGCCACAACGGGTGAGCGACAGAAAGAGACAGAGAGAGAGAGAGAGAAAACACACAAAAAGTGTATGTGTGTACAGAACTATCGTTACACCAGAGCCACGCGCACTTCGCGCGCGCTTAGGTTCTAGTCGCGCTCGAGAATCTATAGTCGTAAATTGCCGCTCGGTGCTGCCAGGCTGACTCGGGAGTTCCCTTAAGGCTGGTCGTGGTACCTGCCATCATGTGATATGGTAACACAAAAGTCCTGTTAGGGGGCCTTGGGGGATTTCTACGACGCGTCGTCCTGGGGCTGGACGAAATCAAACGAGAACTAGGGTGCCCGAGTCTGGCTCCGCATTGCCCGGTGCCCCAGAGGGACAATCCGTGTGTGTATATATGTACATATGCGTTTACATACATAAGATGCACGCGTGCCGGATGATTATGCATGTATGGTTGTATGCGTGTCTGTTTACATAAGCATATTAGCATATATCTCTATATCTGCATGTATATTATATATACACATATATATACACCGAATTGTATGTATGATATATATATATATATATAAGAGAGATGTATGTGTAAACCTATATCTGTATCTATATACTAGAACCATCGCGCGCTTCGCGCGCGCTCAAGTTCTAGCTAGGCTTGAAAGGCTAACTCATGAAATCTCATGTTGGTCGCTTCTTGCGTCCAGGGGCTCCTTTGGAGGCCCTGCGCAAGCCTCGGCATCGTATAGAAGGGGAAGTGCGGAAACGCAGAAATCATTCATGTCCTTTAGGTATTCAACGTCAAAGGCGTCCTGGGTTCTTTTTTGGGAGGTGAGGGGGGTCCGAATTGTGGTCTGCTGTGCAAGGGTAGACCGGGGGCCAAACTTGGAAAAACTAAAGAGTTGTGGGATTCCCATGTTGTTTTCCAGTTCCTCGGCGCTGCTCGGCGCTGCTTTTTGTGTGTGCCTCGCGGGTTTTCTTAATCAGCTGGGCCCCTCAGGGGTGTGGGATCTTCCGGACCCCCTGGGGGTTCTGGAGGCCTCCTGGAGCCTGGAGAGCCGTTGGAAGGGTGTCTCGGGCTGCGCGGGAGCCTGTTGGGCCGTTCTTTACGTTCTTGGGGCTCCTTGGGGTCGTCTTGGGCTGTACTTGGGCGTGTTGGGGGCCCCCGGGGAAGCCGGGGGGCGTGGTACCAGCCAGATGTCAGGGGATGTGTGGGATCTCCGAGTAGGCGTCCACTTTGAAAAAAAACGAATTCTGGGAATTCGCTTCATTTTCTCTCGAAATCCTCGGTCTTCGAGGATTGGAAGCGGGAAAACGTGAGAAGGCGAAAACATGAGAAAAACCATTGGAAATCAACAACTTTATCCTCTTTGGGCTCTCTCGGGACGGCTCTCACAGCTCTCTCGGGCTGTTCTTGGAGCCTTGTCGGGGTCTTTTTGGAGCCTCTCAAGGATCGGGGGTATGTTGGGGACCTCTGGGGGGTCCTGGAGGCCTCTCGGAGGTCTCTGGAAGCCGCTCTTAGGCCCATATTGGGCCTGTTCTGGGGTGGTCTGGGGCTGTCCTGGGCGCCTCTTCGGCAATCTTAGAACCTTCTTGGCCCGTCTTGGAGCCGTCCTGAGGGTCTCTTGGGTGGTCTTGGGGCGGTCTTGGGAGCCTCTTTGGCACTCTTGGACCGGTGGAAGCTCGAAACCGCGAGAAGCCAAAAACATTGAAAGAACATATGAAAATCTACGATTTGGGCCTCTTCGGGCCGTCCTGGGACGCCTCTCGGACCTCTCTTGGGGCCACTTGGAGGCCACCTGGGAGCCTCGAGAGCCGTCGGAAGGCTGACTTGGGCTGCTTGGGAGCGTCTTGGGCCATCATTTCGCATTCTGGGGGCTCCTGGGAGGCGTCTTGGGCCCTCCTGGAGCGCTGTGGAGGCTCCCCAGACAGGCAGGGGGAGCGGTACCGGGAGCGTTCCCGAGATGTCACGGGGAGGTGTGGGACCCGGGGTCGAAGGGGGGGGCGGTATTTATTCATGCTTATTTATTCATACATAGGTACAATATATATATATATATATATATATATATATATATATATGTATATATATATATATATATATATATGCTAGAGCCCCTCCTGTGATCTACCTTTCTTCCTGTTGTGTATGTATCTCTCTCTCTCTCTCTCTCTCTCTCTCTCTCTCTCTCTCTCTCTCTCTCTCTATATATATATCCCTTCATCTTCCTCTCTCTATCTCTCGCTCTTTCCCGTGATTGCTGTCCCAAATGCTTTCCTTTCTCATTTCAGCTATGCTATTTCTCGTTCGGGCCGCCTGTTTATTATTTGCTGCCTGCGGCAAGCTCCGCCTCTTGCAGCTTCCTGGGGGCCTCTTGGCTCTTGGAGGCCTCTTGGGGGCCCCCTTGGGCCTCTTAGTGGCCTTTGGGGGCGCCTTGGCGGCTTCTTTGGTCGTCTAAGGGTTTTCTTGGCCTGTCTGACGCCGTCGAAAGCCGACATGGGGGTGTCTCTGGGCAGACTTGGGGTGCTTTGGGGGCGTTTCAGGGTCGTTTTGGAAATCTGTTGGGCAGTCTTGTTGGGGCCGTCTTGGAGGGCTCTTGGGGCTCTATTGGGGCATATCGGGCCGTCTTGGGGCCATCTTGGAGGCCTTATGGGCCTTGGGGACACAGTGGGCCTTCCTCTTCGAGGCTTCTTGGGTCGCCTTGGAGGCCTCTTGGGGGCCTCTTGGGGCGTCCTGGACAGTCTTGCACAGTCTTGGGCGCCTCTGGTGCCGTCTTGGGCCCTCTTGGGCCATCTTGGGGCCATTTTGGAGGCTTCTAGGGCCGTATTGAGCCGACGGAAGTCCGAATCCTCTGGTGCCGTCTTGTGCTAGCGCTCGCTCTCGCATCCTCTCGTTTCCGTAGCCCTTTGGTTCCAGTTGTTCATTTTTGCTACCATGCCAGCCTCGACGAAGGCGGCGCTCGAGAGGAAGCGCATCGCCAACATGGGCAGGGCACGCGTCAGGGCTGTGAAAAACTTCTTGGGCAAACCGTGGGTGGCGAAAGCCTTGAAGGAGGCAGTAGCGGAGTTCAAGGTTGCTGCGCACAAGCGTCTGTGCGATGCACTTGCCACTGCTGCCCTTCGTTCCAACTCTCAGCACGACGCTCTCTGGGAGAAGAACAGGAAGCTCACGAGGCAGCTCAACGCAGCGACCTCCGAGAAGCAGGAGCAGGCAGACGAACTCAAGAAGCCGCGGCAGCTGGCGCGGGACAACGAGAAGCTAAAGCAGAGCAGCGAGGAACTGCAGGAAGAGCTCGGCAAGGCCAAAGCCGCCCTCGCCGACCTCCGCTCAACGCAGGCTCGCTTCAACTACTGGGCAACGCCCCGGGAAAAGAAGCGCTTTGCTTGGCTCACTCTGCACCCCGCGAAGTGGGGTTCGAGGCGCAACCGGTCCCTTAGGGACGGCTGCATGGGCAGTCAGTGAGGCGCCTGCACGACCTTTGCACGGGGCGGCTAACGAAAAAAACACATGCTGCCGCATGGCGTGCTCGCCGCCCCCCGCGCTCCAGGGAATGGCGTTCGGACTTCGACTGCAAGGTGGCGGCATCTTGAACAAGATCTTGCTGTCGGGGGATCTTGGATAAGATCCCCCTTGCTTTGGGGGTTCCGAAAAAACAACTCGACGGGGGGGGAAACGCAGCAACCTATTAACGACGTGCTTTTCGACGTCCCTAAGCCGCGGCTGTTTGGGCCCAATCGCAGGGTTCTGCCGTTTGTGCTTAAGTGCACGGCTGAGACAGACCCCAAGTCATCGGGTGGCGGTATCTTGAACAAGATCCTTCTGTAGGAGGGTCTTGGATAACATCCCCCTTAGTCTGGGCGTTCAGAACAACAAATCGACAGAGGGGCAAGCGGACCAACCCAATGACAACGTACCC